AAATGTGTGCCACCATCCTTCTGTTCAGGATCAAGTCATCTCCATGTGAGGAGAATACACTCAGGACCTGTTTGTCCACTTCTCAAATGCATTTGATGGCTACTGTGAGAAGGTAATGCTGGAGGAGATATGCATTGGGCAAGATACAGCCTGTCACTCACTCCAATATGTACATGGAGGTTGGAAAAACAACTGACAGCCAGTTGAACTAAATGACTCGAAGCAATTAGCAAAGTGGAAACTGGACTGTTAGAGATTCATTTCATCATCATTAACTTTTTTCCCTCTGTCAATTCCAAAATCATGTTCAGCTCCTTGAGCACTGTGCTGATTGGATGCCTAATAATAATAATAATACTAATAATAATAATAATAATAATAATAATAATAATAATAATAATTTATTATTTATACCCCACCCATCTGGCTGGGTTTTCCCAGCCACTCTGGATGGCTTCCCACAAATATTAAAAATACATTAAAGCATCAGTCATTAAAAACTTCCCTAAACAGGCCTGCCTTCAGATGCCTTCTTAACATCAGATAGTTGTTTATTTCTTTGACATCTGATGGGAGGGCGTTCCACAGGGTTGGCGCCACTACTGAGAACTTTTCCCTTTCATTATATTTATATACCGGTATTTCTTGTTGAAAGCAAAAATGGCCATATCTGTCAAATTCCAGCTCCACGGCTTCTTAAATTTCTTCATTTATATCTATAGATGACCGTCTAACATCCCATGGGACAGGTCTAAAAAGTGTGTTGCCAACATGAAAAGTTTGGATGATGTATGTGTTGAATTGGTGGGTGACTGGGAGCTGTCTAGTAAGAGAGGGGGGCCAGCACATGTTGTCTGGATGCTAAAAGCAGAATGGGGGAAAGTGGGAGGGAAGGAGAGAGAGAGAATGAAGAGAAGGGGAGAGAAAAGCAGGGAGAGTGACAGCATTTTCATCTTCCCAGCAGTGTAGGCTTGTATTTTGAAAGTGCTCTCTCCCCAGTGTGGTGTAGTGGTTAAGTGCGATAGACTCAGTAATCTGGGGAACCGGGTTCATGTCTCCGCTCCTCCACATGCAGCTGCTGGGTGACCTTGGGCCAGTCACACTTCTTTGAAGTCTCTCAGCCTCACTCACCTCACAGAGTGTTTGTTGTGGGGGAGGAAGGGAAAGGAGAATGTTAGCCGCTTTGAGACTCTTTAAAGGGAGTGAAAGGCGGGATATCAAATCCAAACTCTTCTTCTTCTTCTTCTTCTTCTTCTTCTTCAGTCCAAAACTTAGCATCCAGCGACTGTATAATTAGGCAGATTTTTCTTTTATCTCCTTCCATCTGGAAGATGCCTGTTTTTTGCCCAAATCTTATTCATTTTGGAAGACAGGGAGCCAAGCTACTCTTAAAAGTCCATGGGACAGATTGCAGCTTTGCTGAAACTACAAGCTAGCTGCAACTCCACTGTCACTTTAAGAGGAGCTTAAATCAGGATTTCTCCTGGCAAAAGGAAGAAGCTGTGATGGCTTAATTGTTTCTGTGGTGGTCCAGCAGATTTGGGGCAGTTGGAGAGTATGTTATTGTGGGACATGATCATGGGTACACATGTCCAATCCCAGCCACATTAAGTCTTAAACTTCTCCAGGCTATAATAAATAATGCCTTTTCCTGGGGCCTTCACCACCCCAAAACTCTGATGGAGGCAGAGCAACTAAAAGGCCCGCTCTGTTGATTTTAATACCTTGAAGGTAGAACCTTATAGAGAAGAATGTTTTGGGGCCTAAGCTATTAGGGGCTTTAAATATTGTACCTATTATATGAATATTCCTGTGTTTCTTGTGTATCCGTGATGCTGCTTAAGCATGAAAAAATAAAGGGAAGTTCTGACTGTCATCAAAATAGATATTTCTCCTGATTGCATCACAGTGAAGCTTTCTGGTTCAGCCACGTACTTGTGCAATTTTCTCAGGAACCCCTTTCCAAGACATTAAGCCTCAGGAGGCAAGACTCTCATCCTAAGCTATCTAAGAAAGAGTCTCATTCTAAGAATCTCATCATTAGCAATCTTAATAACAAATGAAACAAACTCCTCTTACCACATGACTTTTCAAACTGATTCAGAGGAAATGAAAATGAGTTGGGAGGGGGGGGATAGTCCTAAACTTGTTGCTCTCAGCTTGAGAACACATCTGTTTTTCCCTTGGGGTTGCATTCATTTCTGCAAATCTTCTGCCCTACCTAGTTATTCCAGCACAAGATGTTGCATGCCTTCATGTTGTCCACTCATTCTGTCTAAAGATTGCTGATCAACAGTTTTTTAATTAGAACCACATATAAAGTTAAAACTCAAATCATATGAAGAACTAAAAGTATATTGTACCAGCTGGCTCCAGTATTACCAACTAAATAATAAATTTGTTCGTGACAAGAAAATTGGTTTTTTGAAGGAAGAATCTAAATTCCAATTAGAAACCATAAAAAACCCAAGAAAAATATATCCGAAATGTATAATATGCTCCTTGAGTGGGAACTTAAAGATGAGCAAACCAAGGAATTTATGATAAAATGGGGACAAGATTTGGGATATGCAGTTTGGTTTAAGAGATGGGAAAGGTTATGGGAAAATGATATAAATTTTACTGCGTGCATCACCATAAAAAAAACATCATGAAGATGTGCTATAGGTGGTATATGACCCCAGTCAAATTGGCAAATATTTATAAACTACCCACAAATTTATGTTGGAGATGCAAAAAGGATGAAGGCTCACTATATCATATTTGGAGGAACTGTGCAAAGATTAAGACTTTTTGGAATAATATTTATGAGGAATTGAAAAAGATTTTTAAATTAACCTTCCAAAAAAGACCTGAAGTGTTTCTTCTTGGTCTAGTCTCAGATGATATCCCTAAAGACAAGGTCAGAGTCTTTTTACACGGAACAGCAGCCACAAGACTACTCCTGGCCAAAAATTGAAAGAGAGCGAGGAGACACCCTCAATGTCAGAGTGGCAAATTAAATACTGTGAATACATTGAACTAGCCAAGATGACAGCGTAAATTAGAATGCAATCAAAACAAGAATTAAGAAAGGAATGGAAGTGTGTTGAAGAATATATTGTACAATATTACTTCAATGGAAATCTTTGGATAAGTACTGATTGAATTCATTAAGCTAAGATGCAATGATTCTAGAATAGAGGATTGATTAATGTGATGAATAAATACGAACACAATGATAGAGTTTTAATATAGCGAGAAGGTCATCGTGCACGTGGGTGAGGGAAGTCACATAGTTATTTGGGTAAATGGTGAAAAGGGTATAGGGTTAGATGTTGGGAATCCGTATGTTTAATATAATATATGTTATGTACAGTGCTGAAATTGTACAGTAACTATCATGTAATATGAATTTAATAAATAAAGGAGAGGAAAAAAGGGGGGTGACACTTGGAGTCCCTTACAACTCTGTGATTCTATGATGAACTCATGGTGGTAAGGACTTCTGGATTTTGAAGGTCATATTCCAGAGAGTTTTCAAGGAGGAGGAAGATTGCAGGAAGAAATGAGACGTTCAGGTCCAAACCTGGATCTGATATCTTTAAAAAAAGAATTGAACCATAAAAAAGACTATGAACTGAAAGTGGAGACGACAGATGTACTTTTCTCTGTTTATCTGTTTGCTTTGTAACACAAAGGCTTTAATAAAAAAAACTGTGTGGTCCCCCCAAAAAAGCTTCATATTCTCTTCTTATATTTTTTGGTACTTGTTCTACTTTGAACTCAGTATCATTTGATTATGAACCTATTTGTTAAATTTTGTTATCATTTTAGTGGTATTGTAAGGGATTGCTCAGGGATGCGGGTGGCGCTGTAGGTTAAACCACAGAGCCTAGGGCTTGCTGATCAGAAGGTCAGCGGTTCGAATCCCCGTGACTGGGTGAGCTCCCATTGCTCGGTCCCTGCTCCTGCCAACCTAGCAGTTCGAAAGCACATCAAAGTGCAAGTAGATAAATAGGTACCGCTACAGTGGGAAGGTAAACGGCGTTTCCGTGTGCTGCTCTGGTTCGCCAGAAGCGGCTTAGTCATGCTGGCCACATGACCCGGAAGCTGTATGCCGGCTCCCTCAGCCAGTAAAGCGAGATGAGCGCCACAACCCCAGAGTTGGCCATGACCGGACCTAATGGTCAGGGGTCCCTTTACCTTTACCTATAGCTCTGTTTAGAGTAGGTAATGTCTTGATAATATAAATGTTTTAAGTTTTTTGTATTAATCCAGCATATTTCTTTTTAATTGTTGAATGATTCTGTGTACATTGTGGCAGCCTTTGGCTATGTGCAATAAAACTGACTGACACAGGTATGTGAATGTTTCAAGTTGGTGCAGTTCATTTGCAAGATCAAGAGGGGGGTCATAATACATATAGAATCATAGAGTTGGAATAGACCACAAGGGCCATCGAGTCCAACCCCCTGCCAAGCAGGAAACACCATCAGAGCACTCCTGACATATGGTTGTCAAGCCTCTGCTTAAAGACCTCCAAAGAAGGAGACTCCACCACACTCCTTGGCAGCAAATTCCACTGTCGAACAGCTCTTACTGTCAGGAAGTTCTTCCTAATGTTTAGGTGGAATCTTCTTTCTTGTAGTTTGGATCCATTGCTCTGTGTCCGCTTCTCTGGAGCAGCAGAAAACAACCTTTCTCCCTCCTCTATATGACATCCTTTTATATATTTGAACATGGCTATCATATCACCCCTTAACCTCCTCTTCTCCAGGCTAAACATGCCCAGCTCCCTTAGCCGTTCCTCATAAGGCATCGTTTCCAGGCCTTTGACCATTTTGGTTGCCCTCCTCTGGACACGTTCCAGTTTGTCAGTGTCCTTCTTGAACTGTGGTGCCCAGAACTGGACACAGTACTCCAGGTGAGGTCTGACCAGAGCAGAATACAGTGGCACTATTAGTTCCCTTGATCTAGATGCTATACTCCTATTGATGCAGCCCAGAATTGCATTGAGAATGGGGTGAGTGAGAATGGGGAAAGAGGAACTAGTGGAAACAAGCAGAAGTGAATTGTTTGGGGGCACTTTGCAGGAGCTTCTGTGTCAAACTTGTTTGTATGATAACCTCAAAGCTTGATATTGAACAAGCTCCAAGGACCAATAAAAACGTGATAGGGATTTTATTTATTTATTTATTTATTTATTTAGGCACGTCTGGATCAACGTTTGGTACCTAATTAAAGTCTTCTAAAATTAAATGTCTATAAAACATTCTTTACATGTATACAACGAAGCTGCCAATAATGGTGTCCTTGGATTGACTCTTAACTTCCAGAACCATCTAATCCTTCTTCCCTGGTTCTTTGAGTCCTTTAAAAAAAGGATGTCTGAATAGAGACATTTGATTCTTATCTCATTATACATGATAAAGCCATTTTGAACCATCTCACCCCTTGCTTTTTCCTGTAAGACCAATTGCAGTCGTTAACAGTTGTCAACAGGTTTACCACACCTATCAGATAATCACCCATTCCCACCACCCTTCTGAGTAATACCCCTCCCCACTCTCTCACTATATATAAGGGTCTGGTGACTTCTGTTCCAGTGTATCTGAAGAAGTGTGCATGCACACAAAAGCTCATACCAATAACAAACTTGGTCTCTAAGATGCTACTGGAAGGGGAAAAAATTTTTAAAAAGTAAATAGGCCAAAAATATTTATTTACCAGAAGACTAGGTTTTCAGCTATGTTTCCAGGACCTCTAGCAAAGTGAAGCAAAGTGGCCAGCCTTCAGACCACCTCCAAAAAGTGGTTGTAAATAATGCATTCGCTCCTTCCTGAATCTCAGAAAATATATAGTTACTCTTCAGATTGTTCTAGAATATCTGCCACACTTTTCTTTCTCTTCAAAGATCCAGTGAAAATGGTAGCGAAGAGCCCAGCCTTATCTGGGATTTGAGAAGACAAGGTGCTTTGAAAGTCCATTTATGTTTCAAAAGTACATTTGTGGCAGGAGTGTGTAGCTTATTCTTTGATAGACATCCAAAGATGTCTTAAATGCTCAAAGCTCATCAAACAAACCTAAGAACTCCAGGGTCAAGCCATTACCCCATGTGGTGCAGCATCCTTTTCTAATTATAGCCAGTCAAATGCCTATGAATAGCCTGCAAGCAGAACCTGGGCAACAGCAGTTTCCCTGCTTTAAATTCCCAGCCACTGACAACCAGAAGCATGATAAAGGATTGCCTGATTTGATTGCCTGATTTAGTCTGTGTGTGTGTGTGTGTGCGCGCGCGTGCGCGTGCACGCGTGCTCCTGCTCTTGGAATGAACCCCGCAAAAGTTTTCCACCATGGTATTTATTCAGATTGATTTTTGCAGCAGGAGAACTTTGGTCAGTTGAAGTTGATAGAGGTGGAAGGGAAGGGATAATTGGCAGGAACATAAAAAGAAGCTACAGCCACAGCAGGCGCTGCAACTGCCCAACTGCTTGACCTCACCTCCAAAGGTGTCCTCCTCCATTGACTCATGAGACAGATGGATGCCAAAGCACAACAAAGAAGCAAGAAGTGAGAGTGGGGATGGAGAACCTTACAATGAAATATTCCAGTGATTGGAATTTGTGGAGAGTGGATATCCCGAATATGTGAGAGATGGGCAAAGTGTCTGGTTCTTATGGCTGAGCTTTGGATAAACTGGAATACAATTCCTGAAGATTGTCTTTCCACAGGATCAAGACTTAAAAGGCAAGATGCACCTCTTAAATTAGCTATTGATAAAAAGGGGAATAACATCTTCCTGCAACACAATGTAATAATAATAATAATAATAATAATAATAATAATAATAATAATAATTTATTATTTGTACCCTGCCCATCTGGCTGTGTTTCCCCAGCCACTCTCGGCGGCTTCCAACAAAGATGAAAGATACACTAATGTTGGGAAACTGCTTAAGAATGGATGGAACCCTGCTGTTTTCTGATAGAGCCACCAAATGTTTTCTGAATTCAAATCCACTAACAACTGAGGGACATGAAGAAGCTCTCTGTTTACATGTGCAATTGTTGCATTTTGCGTGTGTTTGCATGACTGATTGCGCATGGATATTAAGGATCTGTTATTGTATGAAAGCCGAGACATCACCTTGCCAAGAAAGGTCTGTATTGTTAAAGCCATGGTTTTCCCAGTAGTGATGTATGGAAGTGCGAGCTGGACCATAAAGAAGGCTGATCGCCGAAGAATTGATGCTTTTGAATTATGGTGCTGGAGGAGACTCTTGAGAGTCCCATGGACTGCAAGAAGATCAAACGCATCCATTCTTAAGGAAATTAGCCCTGAGTGCTCACTGGAAGGACAGATCGTGAAGCTGAGGCTCCAATACTTTGGCCATCTCATGAGAAGAGAAGCCTCCCTGGAAAAGACCCTGATGTTGGGAAAGATGGAGGGCACAAGGAGAAGGGGACGACAGAGGACAAGATAATAATAATAATAATAATAATAATAATAATAATAATAATTAATAATAAATTTTATTTATATCCCGCCCTCCCCAGCCGAAGTCGGGCTCAGGGTGGCTAACAACACTAAAACAGTGCAACATTATAAAAACATTATAAAAATTAATTAAAATACAAATTAATGGCAACCATAAACTAAAGTTTTGTAAAGATTGCCAAAGGAGGGAGTCAGGCTGCGCCCTGACCAAAGGCCTGGTGGAACAGCTCTGTCTTACAGGCCCTGCGAAAAGATGTCAAGTCCTGCAGGGCCCTTGTCTCTTGCGACAGAGCGTTCCACCAGGTTGGAGCCGCAGCCGAAAAAGCTCTGGCTAATAATAAATAATAAATGGTTGGACAGTGTTCTCGAAGCTACCAGCATGAATTTGACCAAACTGCGGGAGGCAGTGGAAGACAGGAGTGCCTGGCGTGCTCTGGTCCATGGGGTCACAAAGAGTCGAACACGACTAAACAACTAAACAACATTGTATGAGAGTCTGTGCCTGACAAAGAAAATATTACCTCTTGCATAAATGTATAGGGCAAGGAGTTCCACTTTGGGGGTTCATCAAAAGAGAATGTTGAAGAAGATTTTATGATCTCCAACTGTAAATCTCAAAGGTGGTCCAGCAATACTTCCTTCCTTCCTCGGAGGTGAAGGCATGGAATCCATTTTGTAGCTCCAGACACAGCATAGCTCCTGATAGCCCTGCTTTTTTGTGTCATGATCCTCCAGGGGTTCCTCTTCTGCCTCATTTCCCCTCCTACCACTATGTGGTGCTGCTCCTCTGTTCTTGCTATCTCTGTGTGGTTTAAATTTTAAAATTGCCTGCCGCTGGCAGTTTTCCCCTCTTTCCCTCTTAACTGCTTAGGGTTTGTTACTCAGGATTTCAAAGTAGAGCAAATTAATTAAACCCTTGAATGTCACACTTTCTGGTTGCTCAACAAATCTTGTTCCACCAACAACTTTGTTCCACCAACTCCAGCTACTGGAATGGATCAGAGGGATGGGAAATCTTTATACACATGTAATATGGTTGAGTTTTATTTAATGGGCACTGACTTCACTTTTGTCTCTTTTCTCCTAGGAGGAGGATTCATACAAGAAGCAGCTCAAAAGCAGAGATTGGACATGAGGAGCAATTATAGCCCGCAAGCCTTGTCCCCTTTGGGTGCTGTAGGGGAAGATAAGGAGACAATGCAACTGGGCTCCCAAACTATGAACATATTAATTATGGAATATCATAGACCTTATTAACCCTGCCTTTATTTCAGTTATTAGCATTTTTGGACTTACGGAGGATGTAACTGTCATCTGGCTTCTCAGCTTTGGCATGAAAAGGAATTGTTTCACCATCTTCATTCTGAATTTGGCTGTGGCTGACCTTGGCGTCCTTATATACTTTATTTTTCTCCAGTAACGAAGCTGGTATTTTTCTTTGTGGATATACTTATCTCTTCTGGTTTGTTGCAAGGGTTCCTTTCTTCTTACTTTTTCCTCATGTACATCACTGGTCTATTTCTGTTGACAGCCATCAGCACTGAAAGGTGTGTTTCTGTCCTCTTCCCAATTTGGTATTGATTCCACCAGCCTCCATGCTTGTCCGCCATTTTGGTGCCATAATATGGAGCCTTTCTTTCCTGCTCAGTGTCATTTCCTCTACTGTGGATATTGCATTTGCTGAAAACCTTTCCGCTTTTTACCTGTTTCAGATTACTGCCATTATTTGCCTCCCACTCACGACCATCTCCTCTCTGACCCTGTTGATAAAACTTTGCTCTGGATCACAACAGAGGAAGCAGGGAAAGGTTTTAAGAGTCTTCTTTCCTGAGCTCTTCTTCCTCATCTTCGCTTTCCCATTTACTTTCTTTCTTTTATTTGAAATAGTGACATCTGAATTCACATATACAGCCAGGGGCATACGAAGTGGGGGGCGGAGGGGGCGGGCCGACCCAGGTGCCACTCAGGGGGGGGTGACAAGATGGCCCCTGCCTCCCCCAGCTGTAGAGCAGGTGAGGGAGCGCACAGTCCATATGGGCACCGCTTGCGCACACAGTCCGTACGGGCTGCCACTCTCACTCACCGTCCATACAGGCGTCTGTACGGGCTGCCTCTCGCAGAGACGAGCTAGAATTCTGGGTCTGAACCCAGAAATGATGCTTTCAAAAGAATGAATAATGAAGTTTCGTTTTTCCACTTCTTGTTATATTGCTGTAGTTTCCTTTTGGTTTTTTATTCAAATAAATGCGTTTCACCTGCTGTAAGTCTACCATTGATTCTATATGCCTAGAGAAACACAGAGATGGTCCTCCCCCATTTCCTTTTTTCAACTACTGATGAGAACTGCTTTTATTTCTTGGTGTTTGTTTTATCTGTTCTTGCTATTTTATTATTTCAAATTAATCTCCTATGAGGTTTTCTATATCATTTCTGGTATAGTTAAGAGCCACCTGGATAGAATGACAGATTAAATGTGTTTTATATTACACACACACACACAACAAGATTGCTTCTTCAGCAGACTGTGAGGTGGGTAAGATTTGCTTAATTGTGTAGAAAACAGATTCTTTGCAAAGGGGAATGAATTACATGAAAGCCTCACATTTCACTCCAAATTCTTTGGCAGAAAGAATATGGTTTTTGTCAGGAAAGAAGACACAATGGAACACACCTTTTAGAGCATGTGTATTAAAAGGGATTTTGAACCATTTTATACATGCAATTAAATTATTATAATAATTTATTGATTTACATACATCTTAATTTCCAGTGACTTACAAAACATAAAAGCCTGAAGCAACATCTAAATAGTTTACAGAAACCCATAGTGTGTGTGTGTGTCCCCTAGGAGATTCCAGTTCTGTGCTCACTTCTCAGTTAAATGTATAGAACTGTGTTAATAACCACATCTCATTCTTATCTCATCACTGGTGTTCACAAACTTAGATTTTTGTTCAGCGGTACTTTCTCAAGCCTGTAAAAGAATATAAAGGAAGACCACAAACTACTGAGTGATTGGTTGTAATATTAAGTCTGTGGTTTGTTTCCCTGTTCAATTCATGGAGAAGCTTGTTGCAATTTACTCTCAAGTAAACAGCCAGATGTTTTCTCAGACAGCATGTACTGGTTGCCCAGTTAAAAGTATAGTGATTACTGTCATGAAGGAGTGATTCTGTAAGCAAGTATTGCTGGCTGGGGTTCCTCAGGCAGGTGTTAACAATTAGCCCCCCAGGTGGGAGCAGGTGATGGGGCTGTCAGCATTCCTCAGGCCTATAAACCTTCGAATTAACCTGCTGAAAAGGGGGAGAGAACACGTTGTAGATTAGACTGCAATTTGACGTCTGTGTTGTTGTTTAGTCGTTTAGTCGTGTCTGACTCTTCATGACCCCATGGACCAGAGCACGCCAGGCACTTCTGTCTTCCACTGCCTCCCGCAGTTTGGTCAAACTCATGCTGGTAGCTTCGAAGACACAATCCAACCATCTTGTCCTCTGTCGTCCCCTTCTCCTTGTGCCCTCCATCTTTCCCAACATCAGGGTCTTTGCCAGGGAGTCTTCTCTTCTCATGAGGTGGCCAGAGTATTGGAGCCTCAGCTTCACGATCTGTGCTTCCAGTGAGCACTCAGGGCTGATTTCCTTAAGAATGGATAGGTTTGATCTTCTTGCAGTCCATAGGACTCTCAAGAGTCTCCTCCAGCACCAGAATTCAAAAGCATCAATTCTTCGGCGATCAGCCTTCTTTATGGTCCAGCTCTCACTTCCATACATCACTACTGGGAAAACCATAGCTTTAACTATATGGACCTTTGTTGGCAAGGTGACGTCTCTACTTCTCAAGATGCTGTCTAGTAGCTGATGTCTGTAGCTGGTGCTAAAGAAGATGTCAATAAAGCCTGATAACCCATTTGGTGACTAAGTGTGAGTTATTAGAAGCTTGGGCGGAGGACTCAGGGGAAAAAAACCCCTCCTTGACAATTACCACAGTGTCATACAGTGAGCTTCATGGCAGTGGGGATTTGAACTTGATGCCTGCCTACCCCCACTTTCATGCACTGGGAAAGATGAAGATTGGCATGTTCTGGAACAGTGACGCAGGTGTGGTGTCTCAGTGAAGATTGCTCACTCCAGGGGAGATATACTAGTGATGGGAGACTTCAACCACCCAGATATCTGTCAGAACTCAAACTCTGCCCATAATGTAAGGTCCAACAGATCCCTCCATTGCCTCACTGACAATATGAATGCCCAGAATGTGTAAGAAGCAACAAAGGGGATCTGGTCCTCATCAACAGAGAGGAACTGAGTGATGAAGTGGAAGCACTGGGAAGCTTAGAAGTAAGACGACAGGAGGTTGGATGCAGGTGAGCTGTGCAGAAGCACGCTGGCAAGCATGCTCCAAGCAAGCTGCCGGCAAGCTCTGTAGATTCTCCTTTTATTAGCAGAAGTCAACAATTGGAAACAGTAGTGAAACCACCCTGAACATGATGTATTTCCATCTAAGTACATTTCCAGCAAGGGACGCGGGTGGCGCTGTGGGTTAAACCACAGAGCCTAGGACTTGCCGATCAGAAGGTCGGCGGTTCGAATCCTCATGACGGGGTGAGCTCCTGTTGCTCGGTCCCTGCTCCTGCCAACCTAGCAGTTCAAAAGCACGTCAAAAGTGCAAGTAGATAAATAGGTACCGTTCCGGCGAGAAGGTAATCGGCATTTCCGTGCACTGCTCTGGTTCGCCAGAAGTGACTTAGTTGTGCTGGCCACATGACCCGGAAGCTGTACGCCAGCTCCCTTGGCCAATAAAGTGAGATGAGCGCCGTAACCCCAGAGTCGGTCACAACTGGACCTAATGGTCAGGGGTCCCTTTACCTTTACCTTTATTTTCCCTGATACTTGATTATGTCTGCGTCCCCGGTCATGCTCCAGCCAAGCATTATGTCTAGTAAACAAATCTGTGATCTGTGAGAGGATAAACGGTCAGGGGGAAAACCCTGTTTTCTAGCCAAGAAGGCAAAAGGTCAGGAAAAGCAGATGCAACGCTCCTTGACATACTGTTGTGTGTCTGGTGCGAGGTTTGCCTTCGCAAAGCGGAGCATTACCTCCACAATAACCTGTTTGGTTTAATGATACAAAAGCATGGGAAAGCTGAGTGTAGTGGGCATGCACTCAGAAAGGAAGGTGGAAAGTATCATTACAGATAAGCTGAGGTGTAAGAAGGGATTGCATACAAAATGGAAGAAAAAGAAAATTGGAAAGGAAGAGTGTAATGTACATGTGTAACCAACAGCTGCAGGGAGAAGGTCAGGTAGGTCAAAGCTCAGACTGAGCTCAGGCTTTCAAGAGATATTTAAAATAATGTAAAGTGTTTCTTTGGCTAATGCTAAACTGCATGTATTTTCATACCAAAGCGAAAATCACAAACCCTGCATTGAACTTCCATGTCTGTGAGATTCTGTATACACCATACACTGAAATTACATTATCCACCCCCGCAAGAACCCCAAGAAGTATAGGCCGTATTCTCCGAGTTGCAGATCTCAGCATCCTAACAATCTACAGTCCCCAGAATTATGAGGCTTTCTAAATCTGACAAAAGTTTTTGTGTGACCCTGTTAACTAGTTTGAGCATGGTAAAATAAGGGCAAGGCGAAACTCTCAGTAATAAATAAAGATATTTCTCCCAATTACATCACAGAGCTATTACATCACAGAGCTCCATCTGGTACGTAGGCTGAGACCCTATCTGCCTGCAGACTGTCTCGCCAGAGTGGTGCATGCTCTGGTTATCTCCCGCTTCGACTACTGCAATGCGCTCTACGTGGGGCTACCTTTGAAGGTGACCCGGAAACTACAACTAATCCAGAATGCGGCAGCTAGACTGGTGACTGGAAGCAGCCACCGAGACCATATAACACCGGTCTTGAAAGACCTACATTGGCTCCCAGTACGTTTCCAAGCACAATTCAAAGTGTTGGTGCTGACCTTTAAAGCCCTAAACGGCCTCGGTCCAGTATATCTGAAGGAGCGTCTCCTCCCCCATCGTTCTGCCCGGACGCTGAGGTCCAGTTCCGAGGGCCTTCTGGCGGTTCCCTCACTGCGAGAGGTCAAGTTACAGGGAACCAGGCAGAGGGCCTTCTCGGTGGTGGCGCCCACCCTGTGGAACACCCTCCCATCAGATGTCAAAGCGATAAACAACTACCTGACATTCAGAAGACATCTGAAGGCAGCCCTGTTCAGGGAAGTTTTTAATATGTGACATTTTGTGTATTTTTCATCTTTGTTGGAAGCTGCCCAGATGGGCGGGGTACAAATAATAAATTATTATTATTATTATTATTATTATTATTATTATTACTACTACTACTACTATTTGTTATTTATTAAATTTGTATACTGCCCTTCATCCAAAGACCTCAGGGTAGTTCACAAAATAAAAATACATAATAGAGCCAAAGCAAAACAAACCAATCACCCACCTCCCCTGGTTCTTCCTTCTCTGTAACTTTCTGACCCACATTTCTCAGTAATGTTTTTCTAGAACTTGAATTTCCTCCTAAACTAGCTATCTTGATAACCAACGAGCAAAATTCTTCCTGCCATATGATGTTTGCAAACGGAGCACAAATTAAGAGGAAGGGGTGGAGCTCTAAACAGTTTGCAGGGAACTTTGATGACAAGTCAGTTCTTTTCTTTTCTTTGTAGTTGCATTTATTTCTGCACATCTTCCAGCACAGAATATTATACCTCTTGCTGCTGCCTCCCAAGTATCTGTCTAAAGATTGCTGATCAGCAGTTTCTCCCAGGTATGTGAATTTCTCAAGTTGATGTAGCTCGTTCACAAAAGCAGGAGGGCAACCATATCTGAGTTGCGGGGGGGGGGGGTATGTGTTTTTCAACCAGCTTGAATCCCCAGAGTCTTCTGTTAGAAGTATAACAGGTCAAAGGCTGGGGTGATCCTTTTAGGCTGTGTTTATGGAAGACAATCTTACTCGGCTACAAGTGATCACCAAAGAAGATTCTTTTAGACCTGGTCTACCAGGGCAAAGAGCTGGAGCATATGGGATCCTAGGCTGAGAGGGCACCACTGCTACTTTTAACCTTTACTAAACGAGAAATGCCTCCTGATTCTTTAGTATATGCTGATATAATTTTATTCTTGTAATACATGTGTACATCTGTGTGCATGTATCTTTCAATAACGGTAAAACTTGCTTAGATGAAAACCACATATCACTTGCAAGTGAATAAGCTCCAAGGACAGGTGACAGGGAAGTTTTATTCCGTATCAAAATCTGATGCCTAATTAAAGTCTCCTAAAATTATATACTTATTTCATGAAATATATGTACTGCTTGAGAGTAAAAAAACAAAACAAAGCCTCAAATTATTTTGTAATAAATGAAATAAAAATGTTCTCTAAGTTTCCTAAATTCCATTGAAACCCATTGAAATTAATGGATCTAAATTAATAATGGTCATTGATTTCAGCAGGCTTAGTCTGGCTGAACATTAGCTGAATACAACCCAAACACTTGAATGGCTTTAATATGCCTAGATTGAAGACTTTGGAAGGACTTCTTGTTGCCCTAACGAGGAGAAAAAAGGGGTGTGATGATATATCAAGAAAAAGAGAAAAGGGGTGCAAAGAGAGAGGGAGAAAGAGAGAGACAACTACTTAGGTTTGGCTGTGGAAGTTTCATAAGAAGCATTATGAATATTTTGATGCATGAGATTCCAGGCACCATAAATGGAAGCCATTCTCCTTGCTCTCTTTCTCTATGGAAGCACTATTCTGAAAAGTAATCTCTTTGACGGGACGCGGGTGGCGCTGTGGGTAAAAGCCTCAGCGCCTAGGGCTTGCCGATCGAAGGGTCGGCGGTTCGAATCCCCGCGGCGGGGGTGCGCTCCCGTCGTTCGGTCCCAGCGCCTGCCAACTAGCAGTTCGAAAGCACCTTCGGGTGCAAGTAGATAAATAGGGACCGCTTACAAGCGGGGAAGGTAAACGGCTTTCCGTGTGCGGCTCTGGCTCGCCAGAGCAGGCAATGTCACGCTGGCCACGTGACCCGGAAGTGTCTCCGGGACAGCGCTGGGCCCACGGCCTATAGAGTGAGATGGGCGCACAACCTAGAGTCTGGCAAGACTAGCCCGTACGGGCAGGGGTACCTTTTACCTTTACCTAATCTCTTTGACTTCATTTAGACCCACAAGATTGTTTCAGAACTTCAGCTGTTATGATGGTTCTAGAGACTTATCTGGTTATCCAGATTTAAACGATAGTTTGTCACTGGATATCAAAATAATACCACAAATGAGCTAATTTCCCCCCAAAGTTAACAAAATATATAATCACCACATAAAAATGTAATAGATAAAGTTGAGAGGACAAATTTTCTCCCTGCTAAATGTGACAGAGTAGATTTCTCCCTAAGTAAAGGTAAAGGGACTCCTGACCATTAGGTCCAGTCATGGCCGACTCTGGGGTTGCGGCACTCATCTCACTTTATTGGCCGAGGGAGCAGGCATATAGCTTCAGGGTCATGTGGCCAGCATGACTGAGCCGCTTCTGGCGAACCAGAGCAGCGTACAGAAACGCTGTTTACCTTCCCTCCGGAGCAGTACCTATTTATCTACTTGCGCTTTGATGTGCTTTCGAACTGCTAGGTTGGCAGGAGCAGGGGACTGAGCAACAGGAGCTCACCCCGTTGTGGGGATTCGAACCGCAGACCTTCTGATCGGCAAGTTCTAGGCTCTGTGGTTTAACCCACAGTGCTACCCAAGTCCCTAGATTTCTCCCTAGACAGCAACAGCTTGGCTAGAGAGTTAACTACTCTGAGGCCGTGAGCCAGAGAGATTACCCACATATCCAAGGATTAAGCTGTAGATTACACTGTTTCAGATTTATAGGAGCCTGGAATGCTTTGAAGCTTTTCGTAATTCTAGTCCTTTGCAGACCCTTCAAGTAGACTTTAATAAGGCTGTTGTCATTTTAATCCCAATCCTTTGTGTCTTGTGTGGGTGCAGTCACAATTTGAGAGGGTGCTGTTGGGCTCAGCTTCTCCTTCTGGGTATTCCAGAGGCATCTAGCTGGCCACTGTGAGAACATGATGCTGCACTAGATGGGCCACTTGCGTGATCCATCTGGGCTTTTCTGGTGTCCCTCTCTGCATCCAGTGTGGTGGACTCCTTCTCCAAACTTCAGAATTGGGTCCAGGGTGGGGCAGTTCATCTTCAGGTTGAACCAGCATGGTCTGCCCTGATTCAGGAACCCCTGGATCAATGGCATGGGGCGGATGGTTGTGCACAGCTCTAGTGAACATCTGCCAATCTCTTCTACTTTTTAATAAAGTCATAACTTTGATTTACAACACTTGAAACCATTCTCATAGTTTATAGTAGTTATTTTATTTAGGCATCCCACCATGGAAGGAAATTCTATACATCATTTTAACATCACAAAGCAACAGGGTTTGACGGACATCTGGTAAGTATATACAATAATAATAAAAATAATAAGGCAGAAAATGCGGCCTCTGTCAGGTTACTAAAAAGAGGATGTGACCTTCAGAATTCCACCCTCCAGATTTATTTTATAGTTTTTTGTTTATTTATCACATTTATCTCACAACTTTTCTCTAAAGAGAACAGGCATCACAAGAGCAGGGCCTTCTCTGCAGTGGCTCCCCATCTGTGGAATGCTCCCCCCAGGGAAGTTTGCCTGGCACCTTCATTATACACCTTTAGGCACCAGGCAAAAACATTCCTTTTTAACCAGGCCTTTGGTTGATCCAATTTACATCCTATGCCCTTTAAAAATGTGTTTGTTTTTTGGGGGGGGCTATTGGGTTGTTGTTTTTATTTTTATTATGTATTTTGTGGTTTTATATCTTGATTTTATTCTGTGAACCGCCCTGAGACCCCTGGATATAGGGTGGTATATAAATTAAATAAATTATTATTATTATTATTATTATTATTATTATTATTATTATTATTATTATCTCATGGTGCCATGCATGGTTCTCCCAGTCCTACTTTAATCTTAGGGTGGATTAACGCTCAATCTCTTTGCACATGGAACTCTCGGAATTATAGCACTGTGGTGGGAATAAGGAACGCCTAAGCACTTTCAGGGACGCGGGTGGCGCTGTGGGTAAAACCTCAGCGCCTAGGACTTGCCGATTGCATGGTCGGCGGTTCGAATCCCCGCGGCGGGGTGCGCTCCCGTCGTTCAGTCCCAGCGCCTGCCAACCTAGCAGTTCGAAAGCACCCCCGGGTGCAAGTAGATAAATAGGGACCACTTACCAGCAGGAAGGTAAACGGCGTTCCGTGTGCTGCGCTGGCTCGCCAGATGCAGCTTGTCACGCTGGCCACGTGACCCGGAAGTGTCTGCGGACAGCGCTGGCTCCTGGCCTCTAGAGTGAGATGAGCGCACAACCCTAGAGTCTGTCAAGACTGGCCCATACGGGCAGGGGTACCTTTACCTTTACCTTTAAGCACTTTCAGTGCCTTTAACAAACTGCAACTCCCAGGATTCTTTGGGCGGCCTTCAATGTTTATCATAACAATGTAAAGGCATGGTGTGGATATGGCCACCATTGACTTGGGAGTTTTTGAAAGAAATGTTGGGAATCAGGTAAGAGACTCACTCAGTGGAAGTTGCTCCCAGTCCCAGTCGCACCCAAATCAATATGACTTTGACAAATGAGGGGTCAGGGTTTTAGGTAGTGTGGCTTGTGTACCCGTTGTGTAGATCATTTGATTGACTGCAGAATAATGATTACTCTTGTTCTCTTTCTTTTTGCAGGTATTGGCATGAAAGGATTACCGAAGTTAAAATTTATGTAAAGGGTATTGCCAAGCAACCAGATGGTCGAGCAATAACAGAAGCTTACAGTGGTTCTGGAGACATACCTGATTATCTTAACTCAAATGAGAGTATCATATTTAGAAATTTAAATAATAGCACAACTGCTGCCTCCAGCATTGTTTTTGCCGAGTTTGTAGCATCAAATGATCTGGTCTTCTCCAAATTAGCAAAGTATTTAATCAACAGCTTCATTGCCATTATTTGCATTTTGGGGCTTTTGGCTAATGGGTATGTCATCTGGCTTCTTGGCTTCAAAATTAAGTGTCCTTTTATCTCTAATCAGTACTGCTGCATTTGCTACTGCGCTTCGTGTGACGAGTGAATCTCACATTCTCAACAGCGTTTTTCTATTATTTTTTGAACTCTTTTGCTTCACATATTCTACCAGTCAGTATCTACTGGCAGCTATCAGCGTTGACAGGTGTGTAGTTGTCTTCTTCCCACTTTGGCATCGATTTGACCGGGGACCAAACTCATCCACCATCATATGTGCTATAATATGGATCTTCTCCTTCCTGCTTTCTGCAATCCATTTCGCTCTCCGCATGACTGGCAGATTTGGGGCGTCCCTTTTACACTACCAGCTGCTTGTAAATGCTCTGCTTTGTACGCCTCTGATGTTCATCTCTTCTCTGATCCTGTTCATCAAAATCTGCTGTAAAGCACAACAACGCAAGCAAGGAAAACTCACCACGGCTATCTTGCTTGCCCTCCTTTTCTTTCTCATCTTTGCTTTCCCACTGAATGCAGTTTATGTTAGCTATTGCTATTATTTCCCCCACCTTCACAGTCTCATGCTCATTGGCTTTGGGTGTTCTTCTGTAAACAGCAGCATCAACCCAATCATTTATTTTTTAGTTGGAAGGAGAGGACGGAAGAGTCCTTCCAGGGTATCCATGAGAGCTGCAATCTCAAGGGTGTTTAAGGATGTGGGAGACTGTACAGAAGACAAGAAATCCAGAACAGAGAGCAAAGTTATGATTTGACCGTCTATGAGTGGTGTCTTAGCAGGGTTCCTACTGTGTGAAATCTTAGATTTCCCAATGGATTTTTATAGGCAGGCCTCACTTCTATCCCTGGGGTTGGTAAAAAAAAATAGCTTCTCATTGTGAACCAGCATAGCCATCTTCCTTGCACTCCTCTTCTCTGTACCTTTGCTTCTCCAGTGGATGAAGTTTATATAATCAATTAATATTATTCCCACTTTCCCAATCTAATGCTTATTGGTTTCAAGCGTTCCTCTATAAACAGCAATATCAACCGTCATGGAGGAGATGCCAGCTCATGGGTGCTTACAGACATGGGGTGGGATTGTGGGAAAGTACAAAAGTTCTGGCTCTCTGTGATTAAAGAGATTAATAGCACTCTTCTCACTTGAGGTTCCCAGAAACAGCTATTCAGAGGCATCCTCAACGAATGGGAAAACCTTCCCAAAAAGACTTCTAAAAAGAATTCACTAGTTTTGTCAAAATTAATTTGACCCCTCCCAAAATTAGGTCTAAGCGAGTCATTAACCTACTATTCAATTCCACATCTGGAAAAACCAAGTTGGAAGAAAGGGGATTATGACTTAATATCAGAAATAACTTTCTGACACTAAGAGCTGTATGACAGTGGAACAGACTCCTTCATGAGATTATGGACTCCCCTTCATTGGAGGCTTTTAAGCAGAGGTTGGAAGGTGATCTGTCATGCATGCTTTAGTTGAGATTCCTGCTCGACTAGATGACCTTTGGGTTACCTTCCAACTTTACAGTTCTATGAGTCTATGAACCCAGGGATGTAGAAGGTCTCCATTTCTAGGTCAAATAGCAATGTCTCTGTGGCTCGGTACACACCATACACTGAAACCACATTGAAAGCACCTTATGCCCCTCCAAGTATTCTGGGAACTTAATTTACCACTCACAGAGCTACATTTTCTAGTGCCCTTAATAAAGTCCCCAGAATTATCGGGGGTGGGGGAGGATAATGTGTTTTCAATCTACTTTGTGTGATTGCCCAATTTACTGCAAGTGAGTGATAGAGATCTGGTGTGTTTCTTGTTTTTGTGTATGTGGATGCCTGCTACTGGAATGCAGCTTCCAAAAGCTTTCCACCACAATAGATATTGAGATAGTGTGTGCCACATTTAGCGGGTATCAAGGGAGAATGAGCAGAGTTGTTTTTTGAAGCTGGAGAACTGAGGTTTTTAGAGATGGAAGGGAAAAGGTAATTTCCAAGAACATACCGAGAAACAAGGAATGAGTGAGTGAGGATGGGGGACCTGACAGTTAAGCATGAGACATTTCTGCTGGTTGGTGGCAAAGCATGGAAATCCTGTGAATAGAATTGAGGGGGTCGGGGATCCATATATGTGAATGATGGGATAAGTGAATGACAGCTGGAGTACCAAGGAATAACAGAATGAATAGACTGGCACACCAAGGAAATTCATAAAGCAGAAGATCACCATATAACCTGTAGGCCATGAGCAGAGAGACTGTAAACGGAATTGTAACTGAAAAAGAATGGAATGTTTTTTGCCTTACAAAAGAAGAAAATGAATATGACTGACTAATTATCAAGATCAAAGGACAGAGAAGAATCCAAAACAAAGACAGAGCCCATCCTCCTTTCCTCTAGTACCCACTGATGTTACTGCCTTAGGACATCACCTTGAAAACTCAGGAAAGAAGGGACCTCCATCCAACTTACTGGCTTGCATCGAGATCTTTAGTGAACGTCTTTTTCAGTCTTTTCCACTTTGACAACTAAGTAACAGCATTTAAAATTATTTTGGTAATATATAGCAGTTATTTTATTTTAGATATCCCAACATGGAAGGAAATCCATTGCCTCCGCATAATGTGATGTGGTGGGCATCTGGTAAGTAGATTATTGATGATGATGATGATGATGATGATGATGATGATGATGGTGATGATAATAATAAAAAGGCAGAGCATGCAACTGCTATCAGGTTACTAAACAGAGAGTGTGTCCCTCAGTCCTGGATTTATTTACTTATCATTTATTTGTTTCTTTTCCAAAGAGCTCAAGGTGGTGTACATGGTTTCCCCCCTCCTCATTTGAACATCACAACAACCCTGTTTGACAGGTTTGTCTGAGAAGCAAGGTTACCCTGTGAGCTTCAGGTCAAGTGTGGATTTGTCAGTCAAGAATGTCCAGAGTGAGGAATTAACTCTAAATTGTACACTTACAATTTAGTAACATGCCCATCAGTCCTACGTTTCTTAGCTAACTCTGGGTGTACACCCGACAAGACTGCTTCTGCAACCAAGAGGCCCCACCCTCTCTTCTTATGCATCTCCCCCATCCAAGTTGTGCACAAGCAGGTGAAGATTCCAAGCAACCTGTTTTTGTTCCTCCCTCTTGCCCTGGGAGACAGTGGAGCAGGAGAGGTGGGGGGAAGCAGGAGGAGATGTGGAAAGCCTTGACTCTATACCAACCTCACCTATCTCTCACTTCTTCTGCACCTGTTTTTCTCTCTCCAAACCTGCAGCTTCACCTGCTTCTGACTCTCGTCTCCTGGCTGTTACAGGGACCCCCAGATCATTGATCCCTTCTTCCGTGTCAGTCGCTAACCTCCGTTCTCCCAGCGCCCATTCACCAGTATCCACTGTGTAACCTCTGAGGAAGCCAGGAAAGCACCTTCTTGGTCAAAGTGACTTATTTACCTGAAACAAAAAATGGGTGCTGAGGAGCAACTATTGGCCCAGTTGATGACAAGCCAAAAACACTTTCTGAAGAAACTGAAGCACTTCCCTATTACAGCAATTCTTGGTATCCCCTTATTGCATTCTAAGAAGAGGACAGCAGTTGCCTTGAATAATACACTGATATGAAACCTGCTGATATAAGATAAGGGAAGTAACACAAGAAGCAAAACCAACGTTTTCTTTTCTGCAATGTGGCAAGAGCAGAAATACACATCAACAGCTTCCATAATGTGCCAGCCTAGGGAATACATTTCTTTATTGCTCAGTTTTATTTCATTACTACATTCTTATATTTCAGAGTTTGTATATCTTTATCATACAGAGTGTGTGTTCCTGGCATTGGACAATCGGGACAGATTAGGGCTTCTGCTGGTTTACCACCCGCCTCGCTGCCCAGCAGTCTCCCTGCTTGAGCTGACAGAGCTGGTTTCAGAGGTGGCATTGAGGATTTCCAGACTGCTGGTTCTGGGAGATTTCAACATCCATGCCAAGGCAGCTGGCTCTGGGGCAGCTCAGGACTTCATGGCCTCCATGACAATCATGGGGCTGTCCCAACATGTCAGTGGTGCAACGCAGATGGCAGGCCACTCTCTGGACTTTGTTTTCTTGACTGGGAAGAAAGAGGGTGACTTGTTTGCAAAGCATTTTGGAGATAAAATAACTTGCCTCTACCAAGACTTTGACTCTGCTGCTATAGCAAATGAATTTCATGGGGTGTCCAGAGCATAGTCTAGTCCTATTGTGTTGAATGAGTTTCAGTTGGAAAAGTTCAAGTATGTGGACAAGGTGTTTGGATTGGTCAGGGTGACCACTTGTACTCTAGACCCATGCCCCTCTTGGCTGATAAAAACCAGCAGGGAGGGAACAGCTGGCTGGTCCTCTTTATGAGAGGGGGTGGTCCCTGCCTGAAGGAGGCAGTGGTAAAACCACTCCTTAAGAAACCTTCCCTGGATTTGGAAAACCTAACTGACTACCAGCCAGTTGCTAATCTCCCTTTTCTGAGCAACGTTCTGGAATGAGTGGTCACAGACCAGATCCAGGCATTTTTGGAAGAAACTGATTTTCTGGATCCATTTCAATCAAGGTTTAGGCCCCGTTTTGGCACAGAAACTACTTTGGTTGTCCTGTTTGATGACCCCTGTTGAGAGAGAGGAGACAAGGGAAACATGTCCCTGTTAATTCTTATTGACCTCTCTGTGGCTTTTGATACCATTGACCATGTTATCTTTCTGAAGCAACTGTCCGAACTAGGAGTGGGTGGTACCTCTTTGCTGTGGTTCCAGTCCTGCTTGGATGGTCGTTCCCAGAGGGTGTTGCTTGGGAAATGCTTTTCAGACCCATACAATGTGGGGTTCCACAGGGCTCAAGCCTATCCCCCACATTAATTAACATCTACATGAAACCACTGTGGGGATATCTGGAGGTTTGGAGTTCACCTATTCCAAACTTGTTACAGTGGTGGCTCGCAAGACGAAAAGAATCCGTTCTGTGATTCTCTTGTTTTTTCGTCTTGCGAAGCAAGCCTATTGACGGATTAGCGGATTAGCGCTATTAGCGGCTTTTAGCGGCTTTTAGCGGCTTTTAGCGGCTTTTAGCGGCTTATCTGCTGATCGGATCAGCTGATAAGCGGCTTAGCGGCTTAGAAAAAGGGGGGGAGGAAAAACCAGCAGGAACTCGCAAGACATTGTCGTCTTGCGAAGCGAGCCCATAGGAAATTCATTTTGCGAAGCACCTCCAAAACGGAAAACACTTTCGTCTAGCGAGTTTTCCGTCTTGCGAGGCATTCGTCTTGCGGGGCACCACTGTAATTCCAACAGACCTCTGATTGGAATTGTGCTGTAAGTAAATCAAACCTATGGCTGCTGAGTGGCAAACACCAGCAGAATTTCAAGTGGCAGGAAATTAGAAAGCTGGGCTTCCACCATCACAAAAAATAACCGTCATTATCCAGTTTAAAGATCCTGACAGATATTTCAGATTGTAGTATCTACTATTTGTGGGTGAGGGGATAAACCATATTGTTGATTCTGTGCTCTGATACACACACCCAAAATGCATGCAGATACAAAAAAATGCCCTTCACAGCAAAATGAAGAGATTTGATCACAGCAACTATGTGAGCAGAAATGAGCATAGTAATTGGTGAGATATTTCCTGTGGTTGAAAGCTGATAATGAAGCATGTGCAACAAATGTCATATCAAGGAAAGATGTTGAAAAACACAAACTCTTGCAGAAACTAAATCTAGTAATAGCCACCCAGAGTGGCTGGGGAAACCCAGCCAGATGGGCAGGATATAAATAATAAATTAATTTTATATTATTATTATTATTATTATTATTATTATTATTATTATTATTATTATTATTATTATTTTCAGTAAAGGAGGGGTCAGGAAACTTGTGAGGAAAATGTTTCACCTGTGGAAATACCTTTGCCTAAGGAAAAACCAACATCAGGACACAATCCTCTCATATGGTCACCATTGCAATTCTAAGAGAATGGGGGAGGTGTTCATGGTGTGTTCCAGCACCTCTTTTTCTAGAAAAATAGCACTGAGTATGGGGGACCCCCTGCTCACCCTCCTGTTCATGGAGACGCAGCTCCATTCTGTCTTGCCAGAGTGGTGTATGCTTTGGATATCTCCCAATTGGACTACTGCAATGCGCTCTACGTGGGGCTACCTTTGAAGGTGACTCAGAAACTACAACCCATCCAGAATGAAGCAAATAGGTTAGCCACTGGGAGTGACCACCAGAACCATATAACACCAGTCCTAAAGGATCGACATCAGCTCCAAGTACAGTGGTACCTCGGGTTAAGAACTTAATTCGTTCTGGAGGTCTGTTCTTAACCTGAAACTGTTCTTAACCTGAACCATCAATTTAGCTAATGGGGCCTCCTGCTGCCACTGCACCGCAGGAGCACAATTTCTGTTCTCACCCTGAAGCAAAGTTCTTACCCGAGGTAATATTTCTGGGTTAGCGAAGTCTGTAACCTGAAGCGTATGTAACCTGAAGCGTATGTAACCCAAGGTACCACTGTATATTTCCGAGAACAATTCAAATTTTTGGTGCTGACCTTTAAAGCCCGAAATGGCCTCTGACCTATATACCTGAAGGAGCGTCTCCATCCCCATAGCTCAGCCCAGACACTGAAATCCAGCTTTGGGGGCCTTCTGGCCGTTCCCTCACTGCGAGAAGTGAAGTTACAGGGAACCAGGCAGAGGGCTTTCTCGTTAGTGGTGCCCGCCCTGTGGAATGCCCTCCCATCAGATGTCAAGGAGATAGAGAACTACATAACTTTTAGAAGACATCAGAATACAGCTGTATGTGGAAGTTTTTAATGTTTGCTGTTTGATTGTGTTTTAAATATTTTGTCGGGAGCCAACAAATTAGTAGTAGTAATGGTAGTAGTAGTAAACTGACCAATATCTAACCTTGGTTTAGGAGGGGTCCCTGTTGTGCAATTTCTAGTGTAGCTTAGTGTCAGTATAACCATACTACTCAGAAGTTGTTGTTGTTGTTTAGTCGTTTCGTCATGTCCGACTCTTTGTGACCCCATGGACCAGAGCACGCCAGGCACTCCTGTCTTCCACTGCCTCCCGCAGTTTGGTCAGACTCATGTTTGTAGCTTTGTGGACACTGTCCAACCATCTCGTCCTCTGTCGTCCCCTTCTCCTTGTGCCCTCCATCTTTCCCAACATCAGGGACTTTTCCAGGGAGTCTTCTCTTCTCATGAGGTGGCCAAAGTATTGGAGCCTCAGCTTCACGATCTGTCCTTCCAGTGAGCACTCAGGCCTGATTTCCTTAAGAATAGATATGTTTGATCTTCTTGCAGTCCATGGAACTCTCAAGAGTCTCCTCCAGCACCATAATTCAAAAGCATCAATTCTTCGGCGATCAGCCTTCTTTATGGTCCAGCTCTCACTTCCATACATCACTACTGGGACAACCATGGCTTTGACTATACGGACCTTTGTTGGTATGGTGATGTCTCTGCTTTTTAAGATGCTGTCTAGGTTTGTCATTGCCTTTCTCCCAAGGAGCAGGCGTCTTTTAATTTCGTGACTGCTGTCACCATCTGCAGTGATCATGGAGCCCAAGAAAGTAAAATCTCTCACTGCCTCCATTTCTTCCCTTTCTATTTGCCAGGAGGTGATGGGACCAGTGGCCATGATCTTCGGTTTTTTGATGTTGAGCTTCACACCATATTTTGCGCTCTCCTCTTTCACCCTCATTAAAAGGTTCTTTAATTCCTCCTCACTTTTTGCCATCAAGGTTGTGTCATCTGCATATCTGAGGTTGTTGATATTTCTTCCAGCGATCTTAATTCCGGCTTGGGATTCATTCAGCCCAGCCTTTCGCATGATGAATTCTGCATATAAGTTAAATAAGCAGGGAGACAATATACAGCCTTGCTACTCAGAAGTAAGACCTACTAAATTTCATGGTCCCAGATAGGACTGGGGCCTGAATTTGTTAGTCTGAAAGGTGCCACACAGAATGTTTAACTAGGTCCCCATTAAAGTTTCAGCCCTCTGCAAAAATATCATCTCTCACCCCAACTTATTTACTCGTACATTTTGTTTCCAGAAAGTGTGGCAGAATATCAAATGGAGTAGTGCATAAGAGACCAGGGTTACAATTACCACTCATCAATGGAAGGTGGTATATAAATTCAATCAATAATAATAATAATAATAATAATAATAATAAACAATTGATCTGCGTCAAATTGCCATTCCTACTATTTACTAAGCACCATCTTGTACATCCCTCAAATTCATTTGTGAATAAAAATATAGGTTTACTCAATTTGAATTATCTAATCAAATTAGCCACTAAAGCAATCTACCTATCAATTCCATGGGTTTGCATTCTGTGTCTGCTCTTTTCTTCCTTTTCTAACGCTTACTTCCTATGAAGTTTGTTATCCAGATCTAGTTCAAAATCTTCTGGTGCTTCAGTTTCCTCTTTTGATTTCTGCTTCCTTTTGTTGCTGACTAACTCATCAGTGGCTGTTCCAGCTGTAACTCTCGCTTGTGTTTCTTTGGGGACCAGTACATTTTATATCCTATGATGGGTGATTGTGAGGTAAGCACTCTTAAACAAAAGCTCCCTTTTAATTGCTTCCCCATTTGCTTTTACCTGATGCTGATTTAGGTGTCTGTTTGCTGATACTGTGGCAATTTCTCTCTGCATGCTTTCATGAGTTAGGCTTGAGATTGAATTTAAGATGTATAGCAGCTTGTAAAAGAGGAAATAGATAGGCTGGCTGTTCATTTCAGCTATTTCCACATCTTCCAAACGTTGGAAAAACAAACAAACAAACAACCTTGTCATAACCATTAACCAAATGAGGTTAAGGGGATAAGCATGCAAAGCTAATGTGTAATAGAAATATATATTCCTAGATACATAGAATCATAGAGTTTTAGAGTAGGAAAGGACCCTGAGGTTTATCTGTTCTCCTCTCAGTCTTATCTGCTGCAGGCTTAACATACCCAACTCCCTCAACTGTTCCTCATGAAGCTTTGTTTCCAGACTCTTGATTATCTTGGTCATACTCCTCTGCAAATATTCCAGTTTGGCTATATCCTTCTTAAATTGTGGTGCCCAGAACTGGACACAGTACTGCAGGTGTGGTCTGACCAAGGTAAAATATTGCGGTTCTATTGCTTCCCTTGTTTGGGACACTATAGTTCTGTAGTCTAGAATAGCTTTTTTTGCTGCTGCATCACACGGTTGACTCATAAAGTTTTTGGTCTACTACAGGCTTCTTCAACATCAACCCTCCAGATGTTTTGAGACTACAGTTCCCATCATCCCTGACCACTGGTCCTGTTAGCTACGGATCATGGGAGTTGAATGCCAAAAACATCTGGAGGGCTGAGGTTGAGGAAACCTGGTCTACTAAGACCTCTAGATCCTTTTCATATGTACTACTGGCAAGTCAGGTGTTATCTGTCCTATATTTATGCAGTTGGTTGTTTCTGCCTGACATTCGTACCTATTCCAATTCATTTGTTGGTTCTCCAATCTGTGAAGTTCATCTTAAATGCATCATACATACACCATGCTGTTATACAACATTCAACAATGTTATTTGTTGAAAAAGGATATTTGATTTGTGAAATTGCAAAGTATTTTTTTAATTAAACTACATTGTTTTTGCCTTATCCTCCCTCCCCTTGACCTCTTTGCTCATTTGGTCAGTTGTTATTAACATCTATTCTCTTAAACCCAAAGTACCCTTGTAACTGGGTTTTATTTGTGATTTTATTTAGACATCAGAAAATTGTTCTGGCCTTGGCCTGGGGTAAGTGCATTTTTAAAATGATTTCATGTTCAGTATAAGCAGTGTATACATTCACTTCACTGTAAACCTGAGAATGTAGGTGTGACAAAGCACAAGTGATTAATACGGAACAATATTTTATAGAGTTTTCACAACAATAGCCAGAGATTTCTATTTTGGATTCTCTCTATTTCTCATGTTTCCAGTTCTTCACATTTCTGCAGAATTTTGAATTTTAAAAAAAGATGATTTCCTCATGTATTTTTAAAATATTTTAATGTAACTTAGAAGAAAGTTACATTTGTTAAAATAAAGATATTTTGTGTGCAGTTTTGAATAATGAGTACACTTTTGCAAGCAATTTCCCATAATACATGCATTTTTGTAGGAATTTCTTGGCTGGAGAACTGCATCAAAAATGCTGATAAGTGTGAATTTCAAAGAAAAAATGTGCTGTTGTTTTGCATATTGCTTCAGGAAGTTCAAATTAGATAGTTTCTAATTAAAATGCAAAGAAATTCAAATCTATCCGCCATCTCCAGTTCTGCGATTAGCAAAACCTTCATAGCAACAATCTCAGCTTGATCCAACAATCCTGGGTTAAAGAAAAAGGTTTAGCCCTTTGTCACAAAAAGTGGAGGGGAATAAATACCAGTGATAGACTCACTCCCCTTCCCTTTATTTAAAATTTCCTGGATTAAAGAAAATTTTGGGGGCCGTTGGAGGGGAAGACCACAGGGAAGTACTTCCCCTTTTCTGAGAATCATTTCCTAACTCATAATCATAGAATCATAGAATTTTAGAGTTGGGAGGGCCCCAAGGGTCATCTAATCCAACCGCTGGCAATGCAGGAATCTCAGCTAAAGCATCCATGACAGATGGCCATCCAACCTCTGCCTAAAAGCCTCCAATGAAGGGGAGTCCATAATCTCCTGAGGGAGTCAGTTCCACTGTCGAACAGCTCTGTCAGATTTATATATATATATATATTTAGTCAGAATCTCCTTCAACTTGAAGCCATTGGTTTGAGTCCTACTCTCTTCCATGTTCCAGCCCTTAAGATATTTGAAGATGGCTATCATATCACCTCTCAGTCTCCTCTTTTCCAGGCTAAATATACCTTAAACTACTCCTCATAAGGCTTGGTTTCCCAATCCTTGATCATCTTGGTTGCCCTCCTCTGCATATGTTCCAGCCTGTCAAAATCCTTCTTAAATTGGGGTGCCCAGAATTGGACACAGTATTCCAGGTGTGGTCTGACCAAGGCAGAATAGAGTGGTACTATTACTTCCCTCAATCTGGCCAGTATACTTCCGTTGATGCAGCCGAGAATAGTGTTAGCTATTTCCTAACTTGCTAATGAATCTCAACATTTCACCTACTTTGTGTCAGTATTTACTCAATAGTTGCAAAAATGGAAAAGCTACCAAACAGTTAACTTTGAAGGTTCCAGGAAAATGTGTACCGCCATAGCTACACAGGTATTGATCTAGACAAGAAGAAATCTCTTTGCTGCTTAGATTGATCACTGATTGGGTCATGCTGACTTTAGAGTTAATGAAGGTGAACCTAGACATCATATCAGGTACTGAGATCTTTTTATCTCTTCCATGGAAAACTATCTTGAGGAAACAGGTGATTCAGATGTAACCCAAGCATTGCCAACAGCATAATTATCATCATTTGTATGTTAAGCTTCCTGGGGAATGGAATGGTCATCCGGCTTCTGGGCTTCCACATTAAGAGGAATCCTTGAAAAGATACCAACCAGCTTATTTTGAAGACTCACGAAAACTGTGTAGTGCCTTAGGTGGACAAGTGTTGAACTAGACAAGAAGAAGATCAAATTATCTCTTTGCAATTGGATAATCCTAACTTTTGATGATAGTTAATGCTATAGTTAGTGTATATCCAAAAAAGATTTCCTGTTATCTCTTCCAGGATAGAGAATGAAGAGCCAAATCACTCTTCTGGAGATTCAGATGATAGCTCAACTGTTTCATTGAAGTTAACCCAAAGCATTGCCAACAGTGCCTTTATCATCATCTGCATCTTTGGCTTCCTGGGGAATGGAATGGTCATCCGGCTTCTGGGCTTCCACATTAAGAGGAATCCTTTCACCACCTACATCCTGAACCTCTCCATCGCTGACTTTGGTGTCCTTGCAGCTCTCCTGACTATTATTTTGCCTGTTGTAACTTTCTATGAGAAATCTCATGTTGCTATTTTGATTAGAAAAGTATTATTTGAACTATTTTTCTTCACGTATTCTGTGGGCCAGTTTCTACTGACCGCCATCAGCATCGACAGGTCTGTGGCTGTCCTCTTCCCACTTTGGCATCGATGCCACCGACCAGCACGTTTATCCACCATTATTTGTGCCCTGATATGGACCCTCTCTTTCCTGCTCTCAGGCATTCACCTTACTCTCCTACTGACTCAGAGCTTTCCAAACTCTAACCTAGTGTACCAGCTTATTGTAAATGCCCTCATTTGCACTCCTCTGATGGTCACCTCCACTCTGGTACTGGCCCTCAAAGTCTGCTGCAAATCAGAGCAGAATCAACGCGGGAAGCTGCTCACCACCATTTTGCTTGCACTTCTTTTCTTCCTCATCTTTGCTTTCCCACTAAATGCCATTTACACTGCCATCTATTTTAATGAGAAGAATATGATTCTAATGGAAGTTGGTTTTGTGTGTGCCTCTCTGAATAGTAGTGTCAACCCGCTGATCTATTTCCTAGTTGGGAGGAGACAGAAAAAGGGCCAGTCCAGTGTCTCCATGAAAGCTGCACTCCAGAGGATTTTCAAGGATGAGGAAGAATCAGCATCCAAAACTGAAAACTCAGTTATGATAGCAACTTAATGCCTTAAGGCACGACCAGCCAATCCTTTATTATCATAAGCACAATAATGTACAGAGGGTAGTCTTTGGTGTGAAAGACTTCTTTTAATGCCTTTCTATCTCATGTCCAACATAGGAAATTTAAACTAGGAGTTTTGTATTGTAACATTTGCTGTGGATAGAGTAAGACTGTGGAGATGGGCCTTGGACAGAAGGTCAGCTTGAGCGTAGTCTTCTTCACCCCTATATTTTTGAAGGGTTGGGCTAAAGCTTCTCTCCCCACCACCTCCCTATGCCATAATGTTGATTGGCATTTCAGGCTTTCAGAAATTACACAAGTAAACTCGACAAAGCACACAACTCCAAGCTAGACTCCAAGCTAGACTCCAAGCTAATTACAAGAGGATCTGTCCTGGAGTGTCAACACAAGGGGGCTTGTGAAGAAGGCGCAGCAGAGACTGTACTTTTTGAGAATTCTAAGGAAAAACCATCTTCCACAGAAACTGCTGCTTGCCTTCTATCACTGTGCCATTGAGAGCGTGCTCACTTATGGCTTATGTGTGTGGTACGGAAGCTGTACTACCCAGGACAGGATGGGGTTGTGCAGAGTTGTTAAGGCAGCAGAGAGCATTGTTGGCTGCCCACTCTCCACCTTAGAGCAGATTTATGCCACAAGGTGCCATAGGAAGGCACTGGACATAGTAAAAGATCCATCGCATCCTGGTCACTGTCTCTTCGAGCTCCTGCCGTCGGGACGGAGATACAGGACGATGAAGACAAGAACGAGCCGTCTTAAGAACAGCTTCTTCTCCAGAGCGATCTCGGCCCTGAATGGGAAGCCTGGACTTTGAAAGTCATCTAATCTTCCTTGCTGTATTATACTGTATTGTTTTAATTAGTGTTTTTATAGTTGTTTTGATTTTGTGTGGAGTGCCCTACCTGGGTGGATGGAGCAGCCAAGTAATTTCGCTGTCCCCGAGAGGGGGCAATGACAATAAAGATATTATTATTATTATTATTATTATTATTATTATTATTATTATTAGACAGCAGTGGGACATGACCACAGTCCCTTGCTCACGCTGACTGCAGTGGCTGTGAACCACCTTGATATCTAAAAGTGTAGGGTGGTATACTAATTTAATGCAGAATGAAATAATTATAATAATTGCATGTATCTTATAGTGTTCTTTTTTGTTTCTCTGTTGTTCTTTTTCATTTCTCAATTGCTCACTTGCATTTCATTTATGTATTCTTTTCATTCTTATACCACAGTGTTTTATCTTAATCATTTCTCAGCTGCAATTTAAATAAATCTTTCAATTTTATTGTACTTTGCATCTGACTCCAGTTCTTTCTGAACAGCACACAACAACTCACTATTGAAGGTCACAGTCAATCACATTTTCGCTGCATGGGTATACTCATGTGTAGGCAACTTGTTAGCAGCTTCCATCCATTTAGCAGAGTTTCTGGGAAGCAGTAGTCAGCAACTGAAGCTACACTTTGAGAAGAAACACAGACACTGTAATACTCAGTCAAGTGAATTATTTCTTGACTGGTCATAAACACTTCACGGTAGCACTATTTACAATCATTATAGCAATAGCTGTAATGGAATACTTAAGCTTCAGTCCTTCTTTTAAGCAATGATGGAGGCAGGCACAGTCTATCAGCAGTTATGAAGCAGCAGTTTGGTCAGTCGTCTATTTCTCCTTTTATTGGCACTTCCAGCTGAAGCTCAGAGTGTCTCTCCCACTTATATACAACTGTTCTGGAATCTTCTCCCTGTTTGTGGATGAATGACTCCCTAACACTCACTGGAGCAAGCTGTTTTCAGGCCACCCTGCCTATCACTAACAGCCTATATGGCAAGATTTATCAGATCTTACAGTGCAGTGGACCTCTGGCTGAACCAGGAGCAGAGCCAGGTTAAGCTATGCTGGTGTAGCCTAAAGTCCACCTATTCCAAATTTGCTAATTCCAACAGGCCTTGGATTAGAATGATGCCGTAAGTATATCAAACCCAGGGCTGCTGAATGTTAACCACTATCTCCAAAAGTCTATGGAAAAATCTGTTTTTAGCTTATATCTAAATAACATCAGTGCAGGGAGCAGCACAATTTCAAGTGGCTGGGCCACTATCATAACACAAAAAACCACAAGTGTCATTATCCAGATAAAAGACCCAGCCAGAGATTTTAGATTATAATACAGTGGTAACTTAGTTTACAAACACCTCGGGTTACAAACACTTCGGGTTACAGACTCCACTAACCTGGAAGTAGTACCTCGGGTTAAGAACTTTACCTCAGGATGAGAACAGAAATCCCTCGGTGGCAGCACAGTGGCAGCAGTAGGCCCCATTAGCTAAAGTGGTACCTCAGGTTAAGAACAGTTTCAGGTTGGACTTCCGGTCGGCGCCAGCGCTTAATGGCGGTCCTTGCCTCGAGCTCCGAGGGAGGACTGCTCCGCAAGTTCGGGTCTGACCCACTACGGCGAGCGGGGGACCCCTAAAATCACGGGCGCTGAAGCCCGTGAGCAAGGAGACTCGGTGGGCACCTTTGCGCCCCCCGGTACTGCAAAAGAGCCTTTTTAAAGGCTCCGTAGCGGCATCGGGTGTGAGCTCGGTGCTGAGAGTCGCAACCCAGCCTGCGGAGTGAAGCCGCGTCGCCATTGAGCGGAGAGCGCCGATTCCTTCCTGAATCTGAAATTCGACCATAATACTCGTGAGTAAGATTGAGAAATTTAAATGGGACATCTAAAAATTTGGAAATTTGGCTGAAAACGGGAAAGGCATAAATCAAGGAAGTCTGCCTCCCCGGACTGCATGACATCTAAAGCAACGGAAAAGTAGAACTAAGTAGGAGAGCCTACCCTTTTGGGGTGAGTTAAAAAAAAATTTAACTTCCACGATTTGGTAAAAGAAGTTTTGAGCTGGAGTGTAAGAGTGGACTTTTAGAAGTTTTCCTTGTGCTGCATGTAAACCCCCCCTCCCGGGCCCGGGAGCGTCCTGTCTTTGAGCCTGTTGAAAAGGAAAGGAGTTTGACAGCTGTCAAAAGCTGTCAAACGGGCAATTTAAAGGGAAAAAGCTTGCTATTTAAGACCTCTCTGGATTAAATGTGATACAATTGAACTGAAGTGGTTGGAAACAAAGAAACAAGCAGCGAAGTGTGAGATTGTTGGGAAAAGACTACTAACTAACTAGATTCCCCCTAGGGGGAATTCTGAGACATTACAATGGCTGCGGATGGAAAGTTACTAGTTGAGATAGAAAGAGCATTCTATCTTGTGGGAATTTTACAAGAGCAGAGCCTTGCAATGAATAAACAACTTGTGGCCTTGACTTCAGGAATAAGTAGCTCCGCTGAATGCAATGAGGAACTGTATGAGGAAAAATCTGCAGCTGAATTGGAAGAGATATCGCAAGAAGTGAAGCAGACAAAACAAGTAAAGGAGAGAGCAATGATGGAAAATACTAACGAACAGAAGCCTTTACAAGTGGTTTACAAACAAAAAGACCTTTGGATTACATGGATTATAAATCTGCAAAAGAAGCGAAAGATGAAGGAGGAAGCCCCTGGAATACTTGGAATTCAAGAATTTAAAAGAAAGAAGAAATATGACTGGGACCTCCATTCTGACCTTGAATATGAAGGATTGGTGGAGCTTTTGCAGCAGTTGTTCTTAAGTGTTTCTGAGGGAATAAAATCCGGCCTGATTGGGACAGAACTCCTTAGAGATCCAAAGACCAACATGAAGGACTACCAACAAATCCGGCGGAGAGGAACGGAAAGAGACTTGAAGGCCTCGGACGTGAGGAATCCAGGCTAAGGACTGTTATTTTGGACACATATTTGGAAGGGACGGAAACCGGGGATGGGAGGGGGAAAACAGAAATTTATGTTTCTTTTTTCTTTTTTGGGTCCAGTTAATATGTTCATATTTCATAAAAATTGTGAAATCGATGGAAGGGAATTTGAGTCCAACTTAGGATAAGGATTAATTTTTTATAAAAGATGTAATATTAATATGGTAAGAAGGGAAAATGATAACCTGCTGATACAATTATGGGAATTGGGATGTATGAAGACTAACAAATTTAGGGAAATTTAAAAGAAATTGATTTGAATAATTAGACCGAGGAGTTGCTGAAGAGGTATAAAACAAGGATGCAGGGAGGGGAAGGTATGGGGAAGTCCGAGAAATAAGGTTAGGAAAAAATGGCTATGAAATTATACATGTTTATATGTTTGTATGTTTGTGTATTGTGTATTGTTTGTGTATACTTTGTGTTTAAAAAACTAATAAAAATTATTTTTTTAAAAAAAGAACAGTTTCAGGTTAAGGCCCCATTAGCTAAAGTGGTACCTCAGGTTAAGAACAGTTTCAGGTTAAGAACGGTTTCAGGTTAAGAACGGATCTCCAGAACGAATTAAGTTCGTAACCAGAGGTACCACTGTATCTACTATTTGTGAGGGGGATAAACCATATTGTTGATTCTGCACTCCGATACACACCCCAAAACACATGCAGTTACAAGACAAGTGCTCTGGACAACACAATGCTAGTTTTTGAAGAGATTTGGTCATGGCAACTATGCACAGAAATCAGCAGATTAACTGGTGAGATACTTCCTGTGGGTGAAAGCTGATTATGAAACATATGTAACAAACTTCATATCAAGGAAACTTCTTGAAAAACACAAACTCTTGCAGAAACTGAATCTTCAGTAAAAAAGGAGAGGGGGGGGGCTTCCTCAAGGGAAAATCTCTCAGCAAAATGAGGAAGAACCTTTGCACAAGAAAAATCAACAACATCACACCATCTTTAAGACTTGATGTATAAAACTCAAAATATTGCTGTTTTGCATGAAAGAACTACCCCAACATTTTCTTTGAATGTTCATTTCAGATAAAATTTGATGGAATTCCTACACCTGGACATGCCACTATGAACACTCCTCTACATGCCTCTGAACATATATCATACGTAGCAAATGGCTAATCAATCAAACCAGTTAGCCAGAGTCATACTGGGGGCCAAGGGGATTAGAGATGATAGACCACCTCCTATCCCATGGGTTACTTATCCATGAGGAAGGAAAGGGTTATAGACAGATGGGGAGGTGGCATGGCCCCAGGCACACAATTTTGAGAGGGTGTGAACCAGGTGCCCCAACACAGGTGCCATCTTCCATCAGGATTTCTGTTCCACCCAGGCATGTTCTGGCAGGCCCTGTCCCCAGCTTCCTGTCCTTCCCTGGCTGCCGCCAGGGGTCTCCTCACTTGGCGCATCGGTGAGGAGGTCAAGTGAGGTGGGGAAGGGGCGACCCACAGCAGCATAGCCTGGCATCAAGCACAGAAAATATTACAAGCTCAATTCTTCTTTCTCTAACACCTACTTCCTGTGTTGATGCTGGAACAATACCAGGATGCGTTTCAAAATTAGCTGCTGATTCAGTTTCCTCTTTCGTTTTCCACTTAATTATTTTGCTAACTAGCTTATTATGTGTTGGAGGCTGTTCTAGCTACAACTGTAGCTTGGGTTTCTTGGGGGACCAGTACATTTTATGGACTATCCCATGATGGATGATTACGAGGTAAGCACTCCTAAACAAAAGCTCCCTTTTAATTGCTTCCCCATTTGCTTTTACATGATGCTGATTTAGGTGCCTGTTTGCTGATACTGTGGCAATTTCTCTCTGCATGTTTTCATGAGTTAGGGTGGGGCTTGACACTTATAGCAGCTTGTAGAAGAGAAACGGGGAGGTTGGCTGTCCAATTCAGCCATTTACACTCCCAAACATTCTAAAACCCTAAAACCAAACAAGGTTAAGCAGGGAAGTATTCAAGGGTAATGTGTAAAGAAATATATATATTCCAGATACATAGAATCATAGAATTGTAGAGTTGGAAGGGACCTCGGAGGTCTTCTGGTCCAACCACCTGCAGTGTAGATTTTCATCCAACCTCTGCTTAAAAACCTCCAAGGTTAACAATAATAATTCATTATTTGTACCCCACCCAGCTGGCTTGGTTTCCCCAGCCACTCTGGGAGGCTTCCAGCAAAGATTAAAAATACATTAAAATGTCACACATTAAAAACTTCCCTGAACAGGGCTGCCTTCAGATGCCTTCTAAATGTCAGGTAGTTGTTTATCTCTTTGACATCTGATGGGAGGGCATTCCACAGGGAGGGCACCACTACCTGGTTCCCTGCAACCTCGCTTCTCACAGTGAGGGAACCGCCAGAAGGCCCTCGGTGCTGGACCTCAGTGTCCGGACAGAACGATGTTGGTGGAGACACTCCTTCAGGTATAACAGCTCTTCTTGTCAGAAAGTTCTTGCTGATAGTTAGTTGGAATCTCCTTTCTTGCAACTTGAATCCATTGGGTCATGTCCTGTCTCTGGAGCAGGAGAAATCAAGTTGGATCCATCATCCATGTAACAGCCCTTTAATATAACAAGGGCGCTGTACTAGATAACCCTTGGGGTCTCATCCAACTCTACATTTCTATGATTCTGTTCTCCTCTCTCTCTTCTCTCAGTCTCCTCTGCCCCTGGCTAAACATGCCCAACTCCCTCACCTGTTCCACATAAGGCTTGGTTTCCAGACCCCTGATTATCTTGCTCTCTCTCTCTCTCTCTCTCTCTCTCTCTCTCTCTCTCACACACACACACACACACACACCCTGCACATATTCCAGCTTTTCAACATAATTCTTAAATTGTGGCACCCAGAACTGGACACAGTATTCCAGGTGTGGTTTGACCAAGGCAGAATAGAATGGAATTATTACTTCCCTTGATTAGGAACTATACAGTATATCTGTTGATGCAGCCTAGAAAGCAGTTGCTTTTTCCTGCTACACCACATGGCTGACGTGTGAAACTTTTGGTCTACTAAGACCCCTAGATCCTTTTCAAATGTACTAGTGGAAAGACAGGTTTCCCTTATCTTATATATGTGCAACTGGTTTCTCCTACCTAAGTGTAGAACCTGAAACTGGTCCGTATTGAAATTCATTTTGTTTGGGTCCAGTTCTACAATCTGTTAAGGTCATATTGAATGCACCATAAGAGTATCTCATGCACTGTGCTATTATATAATGTTCACCAATGTTACCTCCTTTGATTCAATACGTATATTTGGTTTGTGAAATTGCAACACATTTTATTAAAATTAAACTACCTTATATTTGCATTCTTTCTTTTCCTTGACCTCTTTGCTCAGTTGCTATAAACAATTAATCTGTTAAACCAAAAGTAGCCTCTGTAACTGGATTCTAATTGTAATTTTCTTTTCTCTTACATAAATCCTCTTTTTCAAAAAAAGGAGAAGAATATATCTAGACGACTGTGGTAAGTGCACATAAAAAAGTAATATCATGTTCAGTATTAGCACTGTATACATTAACTTCAACACACCTAAGAATGAAGATGTGGTACAGCATATGTGATTAATGTAGGACCATAACTTCATCTTATAGTCTGCATAAGGGATAGGTGGAGATTTCCATTTTGGGTTCTCTCAGTTTCTCACATTTTGAATTCTCTACATTTCTGCAACAATTTGGATTAAAAAGAAATAACTTCATGTAATATTGAAAAATATGTTAGTGTGACTTTCTTTTTTAAAAAATGTAATGTTTGTGCTGTCTTGAAGAATGAACACACTTTAACAAGCATATTGCCATAATACATGAATTTTTTGTAAACACTTTGGTTGGAGAACTGCATCCAAAAATGTGGGTAAATTTGAATTTCAAAGAAAATGTTGTTTTGCATATTGGGTCAGGAAGTTTAAATTAGATAATGTCTAAGTAAAATGCAAGGAGATTCAAATCCCCTTCCCAATGACTAGTTCTGCAATTATGAAAAGCATCATTGCAACATTAAATCAGATTAACTTGATCATTCAGTTGGATTAACATAATCCAACAATTTTGGTTTGAAGAAAAAATGGTGCTTTCTCTTTATTTGGAAATGTCTTTGAATTTGTAGTTTTCCAGGAAAACCTCTAGGAAAAATATGTTCCGTGTTATGAGAATCATTTCTTAACTGATAATGTTTGGGTATGATATTGCCATGCTTTGAAACTCAAAGTTCCCTTATTCTGTGATAAAATATCAACTTATTTGTTTCAAAAATTGAAAAGCTAGTGGCAGGATTTAAATAAACAATTGAAACTTTATTTACAGAGAACAAGAAATACAATTAGTGATAAGAGAACATTAGGTATAAAAAGCAGAATGTAACATTTGGTGTAATAAACCAGAAGTGGAAGTTGGGGGAAGTCAACAGGGAGGGGGAAACTAGAAAATGGATGTTAAATGATGACATTAAATATGTCTTACGAGAAAAGAAAACCAATTAAAAATGTTTTTTTAAAAAATTGAAAAGCTACCAACCAGCTTATTTTGAAGACTCACAAAAACTGTGTAGTGCCTTAGCTACACAGGTGTTGAACTAGACAAGAAGAAAATCAAATTATCTCTTTGCAATTGGATAATCCTAACTTTTGATGATAGTTAATGCTATAGTTAGTGTTTATCCAAAAAAGATTTCCTGTTATCTCTTCCAGGATAGAGAATGAAGAGCCAAATCACTTTTCTGGAGATTCAGATAATGGCTCAACTGTTTCACTGAAGTTAACCCAAAGCATTGCCAACAGTGTCTTTATCATCATCTGCATCTTTGGCTTCCTGGGGAATGGAATGGTCATCCGGCTTCTGGGCTTCCACATTAAGAGGAATCCTTTCACCACCTACATCCTGAACCTCTCCATCGCTGACTTTGGTGTCCTTGCAGCTCTCCTGGCTATTATTTTGCCTGTTGTAACTTTCTATGAGAAATCTCATGTTGCTGTTTTGATTAGAAAAGTATTATATGAACTATTTTTCTTCACGTATTCTGCGGGCCAGTTTCTACTGACCACCATCAGCATTGACAGGTCTGTGGCTGTCCTCTTCCCACTTTGGCATCGATGCCATCGACCAGCACGTTTATCCACCATTATCTGTGCCCTGATATGGACCCTCTCTTTCCTGCTCTCAGGCATTCACCTTACTCTCCTACTGACTCAGAGCTTTCCAGACTCTAACTTAGTGTACCAGCTTATTGTAAATGCCCTCATTTGCACTCCTCTGATGGTCACCTCCACTCTGATACTGGCCCTCAAAGTCTGTTGCAAATCAGAGCAGAATCAACGTGGGAAGCTGCTCACTACCATTTTGCTTGCATTACTTTTCTTCCTCATCTTTGCTTTCCCACTAAATGCCATTTACACTGCCATCTATTTTAATGAGAACAATATGATTCTAATGGAAGTTGGTTTTGTGTGTGCCTCTCTGAATAGTAGTGTCAACCCGCTGATCTATTTCCTAGTTGGGAGGAGACAGAAAAAGGGCCAGTCCAGGGTCTCCATGAAAGCTGCACTCCAGAGGATTTTCAAGGATGAGGAGGACTGTGTGGAACAGTCAGAGTCCAGAACTGAAAACTCAGTTTTGGAAGAGTTGAAGTCTGGAACAGAAAACTCAGTTACGATGGCTCCCTTGAAGGCTTAAGACAAGAAATGTCAACTTCTGTATTACAGTGGTACCTCTGGTTATGAACTTAATTTGATCTGGAGGTCCATTCTTAAGCTGAAACCATTCTTATCCTGAGGCGCTCTTTCGCTAATGGGGCCTCCCGCTGCATGCACGCCTCCAGCGAGCGCTTTCCGTTCGCATCCTGGGGCAAAGTTCACAACCAGGAGCAGCTACTTCTGGGTTTGCAGAGTTCGTAACCTGAAGCGTTCGTAACCAGAAGCGTTCGTAGCCAGAGGTACCACTGTATCATGATCAACATGATGTCTAGACAATAATCTGTTGTCTGAATGTCTTCTTGTAATGTCTTTCTTTCTATTGTCGAAAGCAGGAGTTTCACTTTAGGAGTTCTGTGTTTTAATGTTTGCTTTGGAAAGAGCACTACTGTGAAGATGGAGCTTGGATGGAAAATATGTGTGAGCATCGATTTCTTCAACCCTATATTGTCCAATGGGTTGGGCTTCTCTCTCTATGAACAACTGTCATAATGTTTTTTGGAGTTACAGCCAACCCAGAAGCAACTTTAGTCCACATTGCTTAAAACTGTGGATCTAGTAGACTCATTTTGAGTGGCATGATTCAAATTGATTAATTTTTCAATATCCCCAAAGTTTGAGAGTCTGTAGCATGAATGTTATAAAGATATGCTGATCTGTTGTGGAACAACCCCATTGAAGAAGATAACAATAGTTACTCGGACCTTATTGCCAGTTGCAAAGGGGGTCCTGTAGCAATTCGAGCTTCAGGGCCCCCAAAATGTAGATCCACCACTGATAGCCACCACCATACCTACAGCCCCTTGCTCATGCTGACTGTGGTGGCAGCCACGGGGCACATCAGGAACTGATTTCTTCTGATCTCTTCCAGGGAAGAGTTTTTTTTATATGGACATTGAGTTGCCGGCTTCCTTGAAGTTAACCCTAAGCATTGTCAACAGCATCCCTATCATTATCAGCATATTTGGCTTCCTGGGAAATGGAAGAGTCATCCACCTTCTGGGCTTCCACATTGAGAAGAATCCTTTCACCACCTGCATTCTGAACCTCTCCATAGATGACTTTGGTGTCTTTACAGCTCTCCTCAGTATTATTTTGCCTGTTGTAATTCTCTATGGGGAATTCTATTCTGTTTATGTGAATAAAATATTATTATTTGAACTATTTTTCTTCACATATTCTGTTGCCCAGCTTCTACTGACAGCCATCAGCAATGATACGTCTGTGGCTGTTCTCTTCCCACTTTGGCATCAATGCTACAGTCCAACACATTTATCCACCATTATCTGTGCCCTGGTATGGACCTTCTCTTTCCTTCTTTCTGGAATTCACTTTACCCTTTTTAAATGCTCCTATTGTTCCATCCCAGCATCTGCCAATCTAGCAGTTCAAAAGCAAATAAATAAACAAATAGGTACTGCTGCAGCAAAAAGGTAAATGGCTTTTCTGTGGGCTCTGGCCCTTGTCACAGTGTTCTGTTGCAACAGAAGAGGTTTAGTTATGCTGGGCACATGTCCCAGAAAGTTGTCTGTGGACAAACGGCGCCTCCCTCATCCTGCAAAGCGAGATGAGTGCTGCACCCCATAGCCACTTTTGACTGGACTTAACTGTCCAGGGGTCCTTTACCTTTACCTCTACATATTGTCCAAAGAATGAGATTTAGACTAGGAGTTCTGAGTTGAATTATTTCCTTTGGAAAGACGAACCCTTTCCAAAGGAAACAGATTTATGCTTGAGCACGAACTTCTCCACCCCTATAAAATCTAAAGGGTTGTGCTAAATCTTCTTTCTCAATGCCTTCCCCACTATAATGTTGACTGGAGGTCCGGCCCATAGACAGCAGTGGGACATCATGGCATGACATAGCCACCACCATAACTACAGCCCCTTGCTATTGCTGCCTGAGGTGGCAGCCATGGGGCAGGCACAAGCTTGCTCTGGGCTAAACCACTTGCAGCTATATAGTGATCAGGCCCGATCCCAACTAGTGTTGACTATAGTGTGAGTTCAGAATCCACCAGGTCCCTTTATATCTCAGCTCATTTCTGTCTCCAGGAAGCCTGGGAAGCCCTTTGGATAATAGTTCTAACCACATTATATTGCCAGGCAGAAGCTCTTTGCCAATGGGGGGACTATAGGGTCACTCCTTGGGCAGAGGCCAGTGGACCAGAGTCTTGGAATGTGCCCCAAGAACCTCAATCTGAATTAAATCACTCAGTATGAAGAATACAGAAGGCCATCAAAATGCAAGCAGAAATTCCCCAATGGCAGACCTCTTCAACACACAGCAGGTCCTAAGGAAGTTTATGGATGAGGCTCTAATCTATGATGCCTCGGCATGGAGTCTGCTTCAAACAGCTTTTATGCAGTGGTAGGTTGAGTGGTACAGGCTCACACATAGATGCCACTAAAGTTCATGTCTTCTACTAAAGAATCAGATGGCAAAAAAAAATTATTTGGAGATCCGGGGTGTCTCAATGCATGTTAGACCGAAAAATGGAGTGGAAAGGAAGCAAACATTGGTGAAAGACAATGTGGATTATGAAAGACCTTTGATGTTTTATTGTATTTTTAATATTCTGTTGGGAGCTGCCCAGAGTGGCTGGGGAAACCCAGCAAGATGGGTGAGGTATAAATTATTATTATTATTATTATTATTATTATTATTATTATTATTAAAGCCTGAATCTCTTTCTTGGACACACATATATCACTTTTCCTGCTTTAAGCATCTCCCTCTTTCACTTTTTAAAAAATCATCCTGGTCAGTTTGGGTTGATGGGTTTTGGGTTGATGGGTTTTGGGTTGATGGGTTTGGGGTTTTCCCTCAGATGTTTTGATATTTCCCAAAATCCATTTTATTTTTATTTTCTGTTTATTCCTGTGTAAGACTCCAACTTCACTACAATTTTAGACACATTCATCTTTTTTTTTTCTTTTTTTTAACCTGAATTCATTTTCCATTTGGAGCCCTCTGAGCCTCATGCATTCCGTTCACTTTTCCAAACTCTCCCTGAGTCCACAGGATCCTGTTCAGCAGATCCCTCCTTGATCCTTAGGTTGAACTGCTATCTACTTTGGAAATAAGTAAGCTTTGAACTAATTAGATTGGAAGATGCAGTTTAGAACACAGGATTTGTGTTATTGATAGCTGCTTGGTCGCTACTTAAAAAACAACCACCACCTATCAATTATTTCTTTTAGTTATAGCACAATCCCACCCCCACCTCCCATTCTGGGGGATTTGCAACTACTGCTGCTGAACAGGGTTTGGATCTATTGAAATTTGACACGAGCTTAAATTACACTGATTTCCTTCAGGCCATCTTGTGCATAGGTTTGCTTCATTAGTCAATAAGCAGCACTACTGCTGTTCCTGCTGCTCCTCCTCCTCCATAGAAGTATACAGGCAAACTGCATAAACCCTGATCAGATTAGAAACCATAGGAAGGATACTGAGAAAGCAAATGGCACATGAGTGACAAGGATACTACTACTACTACTAATAATAATAATAATAATAATTTATTATTTCTACCCCGCCACTCTAGGCAGCTCCCAACAGAATATTAAAAACTCAATAAAACATCAAACATGAAAAGCTTCCCTAAACAGGGTTGCCTTCAGATGCCTTCTAAAAGTCAGATAGTTGCTTATTTCCTTGACATCTGATAGGAGGGTGTTCCACAGGACGGGTGCCACTTCCAAGAAGGCCCTCTGCCTGGTTCCCTATAACCTCACTTCTCGCAGGGAGGGAACCAGCAGAAGGCCCTCGGAGCTGGACCTCAGTGTATGGGCTGAACGATGGACGTGGAGATGTTCCTTCAGGTATGCTGGGCAGAGGATGATGAGTGGAGAAGATGCCAGGCCTAGGGAGCTGGTATGAGTTTTCATTTCATTTCATTTCACTTTTAATTTGTATACCACTTTTCTATATTGCTATACACAGGAAAGTTTACAAGCTGAAGAAACAACAAAATAGACAGCAAATCTATCACACACCTAATAATAATCTGATCCAATATAGAAAGTCATAATAAAAACATAACTTTAAAATAGACAACCTACACCAAATATAGCAATGTTCAATAATCCATTTGAATATAATAGTAAACTTCAAAATTAAATATCAGCAAATAATAATTAAACAGTTTACACTACTACCAAGAAGGCCCTCTGCCTAGTTCCCTGTAGCTTCACTTCTTGCAGTGAGGGAACAGTCTGGAATTGTTGTCATTTATTAATTTATATGCCACCCAATGCCCAGATTAGTTTTGCATTTAAAAAGCAAAATAAGAAGCCCATAGAACGCATTATCCAACTAAATGGAATAAAGTAAAAATAGATGTATATGCCCCTTAATTCCCGTATTAGCTTCTAAGCAAATTGTAAGTGTAAAATCCAATGAGGCAAACATTTTTGAAAATCAACATCCGTAATTAAAATATGCATTGAGTTCTGCAGAAAAACTGGATCTGTGGAAGCTTTTCCAGAAGCGAATATTGCATTTGGTTATTGCTTATGTCATCCCCACAGCATAGCTTACAAGGGGGGGATTTAAGAAGTCATCATCATTGAATCTGTCATGGCTGGAGGATTCTGATCCTCTGTGCAATCAGCTTTGTCACTAATACTCTTTCCAGCACTACCTTCAAGGGTTCTGTGGGTCGATGTTTCTTTCCCCTTCCAATTAGGAAGTAAAGGAATGGATTAACACTGCTGTTGATAATAGCACATGTCATACATATTGTTGTTGTTTAGTCGTTTAGTCGTGTCTGACTCTTCGTGACCCCATGGACCAGAGCACGCCAGGCACCTCTGTCCTCCACTACCTCCCGCAGTTTGGTCAAACTCATGCTGGTAACCTCGAAAACACTATCCAACCATCTCGTCCTCTGTCGCCCCCTTCTCCTTGTGCCCTCCATCTTTCCCAGCATCAGTGTCTTCTCCAGGGAGTCTTCTCTTCTCATGAGGTGGCCAAAGTATTGGAGCCTCAGCTTCACGATCTGTCCTCATACATTTTAGTGGTTCCCATAACATGCTTTGAATGTCAATCAGTTGAAAAGCTAGAAGGCTCATCAGCGCACTGAATGGTACACCGAAAATAAAGAAGAAAAGAAGAGCAAGGAAGAGGGCTGTGTAGAACTTTCCTCGTGGGCGTCGGTGTAAACTGCAGCAGACCTTGGTGAAAAGGATCACAGTACAGATGACTACAACAATTGGGCAAAATACAGAGTTGATCTTGGAAATGACTTGAAAAGTTATGGTAGATTATATTTGAAAGAAATCAGTTCTGAAGAATAGACTGGACATTGCCCATATTAATGCACAAACAATTGCAGACAGGTGTTCTGGACGGTGGCATCTGTACCAGATTGGGAAGACAACCAAGAGACACTTCTCGACACTGATGGCTGTCAGGAGATATCCGCTCGTGGTATATGTGTAAAAAAGCAGAGCATGTGATATGGAGTCTAGGGAATTAGGATCACTTTTATTCAAAGAGAAAGCGAAAACTACCGCAGAAACAAGGACACAAGCAACAGCAACAGCCAAGTTCAAGATGTAGGTGGTGATGGGGTTCTTCTTAAGAATGAAGCAGAGAAAATAGATGACGATTGCATTCCCCACCAGACCACATATAAATATTATAAGGATGATGAGAATACCAAAGAGCAGTAGGCAGTCTATGAAGGAAGAAAGCTCAAATTCAAAATCATCTTCTGGGAATGTTGAAGGGCTGAATTTTCCATAGATCCCATCAGTAGTGTGTGTTAAAACAAGTGATGTTCCTGTGCTCAGCTCTGTCATGATGAAATCTCTTCCTTTGGATTCTACCTGATTTTTCCTTTACTTACACAACTGCTGCAAGCAGAAAGGATGAAGATCATTAGAAATCATCACTAAAGACCAGTTAAAACACATACCTAATGCATAGCAATATATCTTTTTCCTTAACTGAAGTTTCTCCAAGCATACTCTCCAGGGTTTATCCCAAGGCAGTCACTCATAACCCCATTTATGTCTGCTCACTCAAACCATAATTAAGAACTATTTGGGAGGAATAACAAAATAGCATTACACATGAACATAACATATTTAGAACAAAATATATTCAAAGCCCTGAATTGTGGCTTATGAATCTGAGGAAAATAAGAAGC